TAGTGTCAATCTGGTTCAACAAGGTGCTATTTTTAAGACAGAATGGAAATTAATTTTTCAGACTTATTGAAAGAGGCTGATCGTGTAGAACATTGTGGCCTCTAGTGCAGGAGCACAATCATGAATCCATTTGCTCTTATTTTCATTTATTTTTTAGGTTTAAGCATTGCCAAAATTCCTAATGGCACAACCTAGCAACTATTTATCTAAAGGAAAAAAAAAAAAATCAGTATTCAGGAAGAGTAAACTGAACCCAAATGGATTTCACTGTGTAATTCTGAAGGACAGAGAAAGAGCACAGCTTCAAAGAGCTATTATGTGCTTACGTGAGGACGTGGAGATGCACTGTTTAATGAGGGAAGAGTGAAGGCTGAGCTAATATGGAAAGGGGGAAGGTAGTGTGATGCCCCTGCAGGCCTTGGGAGGGATACACCAAATAAACCTGTCCCCACTTTGCCAAGCACTGTCATGGTCAAGCACACTATTCATGATCTCAGAGGGGATGGTGCTGCAGAGCAAACACAATGAAGGACTTTTGTCACCTCCTTGGGAAGAGGGTGAAGGGGAGAATGCCTCTGAGAAGTGGCAGTGGCAGTGCTTCTCAACATCATGCAGATGAGAGCAGCACAAACACTCCTGACGCTGCAAAAGCTGACTGAGAGCGTTGGAAACGGCCTGAGGATCCCGGACGGAAATTTTCATATGCACACTAAAATTTCGTCTGAGGATGCCTGAGTGTTGATGAAAGTCTTGCACAAAGAAGTGGAGAAACAAGGAAAATAACCCCAAGTGTCCTGAGCATCAACCTGATTAAGGAGGAAACAACTCAGAGGTAGATTATGCTGATCCAGTGAGAACCTTTGTGTGTGGTGTCAGGACTGGTAAAACTACAGGTCCTAAAGACCCACTGGAAGCAGAAGCCCTTTGCCTCCCATCTGCACAGTCCTCATGTTCAACTCTAGACCCACATGGGTAGCCACATCTAGGTTATTTTTTTGAGGAAGGGTAGGAATTGTGCATATCTTCGAGGATCTTGCGAAAGGTTAGAATAGCACCAATCCTGCTCTCAAGGGAAGTGCAGGAGGAGTTGGGTGATCTACAACTTGTGGGTAAGGAAGTACTGAGAAGAAAGAATATTGGCTTCTCTATTTAAAGACAAGCATTTCCTTAATGCAAGGCTGCTGTTATCTTGAAATTTAAGTGTTTGCTTAAGTGCTTTGCTGGACAGGAATGTCATTATCCTTGGGCTTAAAGCTTTTGGTGAACAGCAACAGAGTTTACAGAAAGCTTCAACCTTAGCAAGCATCCAGTCTACCTACACAGGACCCACAAAACACCAGCCCAGGTATTTCCTTAAGTTAAAACTGTCAGTCACAAGAGCTCTACACAAATAGGTAGATTTTACAAAGGGTGGTGATGCAGCTGCACTCACTGCATACTTGGTCCATGTTATCAATGGGCAAACCCATTGTTGGTTTAAGTTCCAATAAACCAAGGAGAAGAGATCTATTTTCTACACCACCACTTAGAATTCTCACTGTTCTGTTGTATTTTTGGTGGCTGTTGCAAAATACAGATAATATTTACTAATTTGACAGCTAATGCTATTCAGTGGATTGAATATTTGACAGCTGCAGTTAGTGGATTGCTCTTTCCCCAAAAAGAATTATAGAAGAATCAGAAAAACAGTGCAAAGAAATTTAAAAGCACCTTTTTAAGCCATGCCATTGTACTGTCTTGCCCAAAAGATGAGTTTGTCTTTCAATAAGCCAGAGGAAAGAAAAGGCCACTGTGGCATATTAGCATGCTTTTATCACTGCACTCAAAGTAACAAATAATTACCAAAATGAACCTCATGGAAGACTGGCTGGTCCTGTGAGCCATCCCTTGTTAGTTGTCTCCAACAAGGGCCTGTCAAATTTTTGCTAATGTGTGTATTAATGGATTTTTTAGTAGCACCATTTGCTACTTGAAAGATCGTGTGTGTTGTCTATTTAACCTTGAAAAGCCCACTGGCTAAAAGTATTTGGGAATATGAGGTGCTTTTCTGCCTAATTTGTTCTGTAAGTATCAAATGGAAGATGTGTCATGGTGAATTGCATTTCCAAATGACAGCCAGAGTGACTGTCCAGCACAGGACTTCTCTAACAGTTTTCTAAACTACTCTAATGTTTAGTTATCAGCCACCTTATTAGCCATCCAAACCAGAAATTCAAAAGAAAGTAAATGTAATTCTTTATTTTTAAATACTTCCAGGTTTTATATTACTGCAATACCTTTTAACCTTGGAGTTTCAAAAGTTGAGTGAATGTACAATCTCATTTAACTGCTCAATTAACTTTACATCAAATTTCTCTGAAAAAAAAAATCCTTTGTCATGGCAGTCAAATCTCTGTGAGGCTTCCCACTATTTACACCAAATATACATCACTTATTAAATTATTAATCAACCAGAGTTTGTTAAGATTTTTGAAAATAAAAAGCTCTGAGTGTTAATCACTATTCTTCTCACCGTCATGGCTTCTAATTTTCAATGTTTTAGCACACAAACTATGTTTCACTCAGATCTAGAGGATGCTTAAAATTAGCTTGTTTATACATTTTGAGGATGCAGTTAATTTACGTAGGTTAATGATTCCTGTGGTATATTGAGGATGCTGCATATTGAGAATAAAAAGGAGTTTTGCAAGCTGACTCATGTCAAGTAAATTGAGACTTCAAGGATTCTAACAATTCTTGGTGACAGTAAAAATCTCAAATGAAATCCTACTCCTGAGGAGAAACTATAGCAAACTTTCCTTGCTCACAGGAGCATCAGAATTCAGTCCCTTTCCGGGTTGGACATCTGTGCATTTCTTAAAGGAACCAGCCCTGCCAAAGCAAAGCTCTCTGACACAGACACCTTCTCCCAGCAAGGGGGAAAAACATGACAACCACCCCTCAACCTCCACACCTCCTGTCCCATTCCAATGGGATTAATTGTACCTAATTAATTGCAACAGGATTACTCGCTGCTCCCACCCACTCCAGATTTCCTGAATGAGCTGATAGGAGGAGGGGAGGTGCACAGGACCCTGTGTGCTAATTTTTGTGGAGGAGAGGGAAAAAACAAATCATCATTAAAGAAAGAGATTACCCTCCTCCCCAAAGGTTAAGAACAAATGGAAAACTCCTCAAAAAGGTGTTAAAAATATACTTGTAAGGGCAAGAATTGCCTCAATTCCTGTTGATGGGGAAGAATCAACACTTAAGTAGATTTACCAGGATCAACACAGACATTCCCATTTGTTCATGCACAAAGGCAAAATAACATGCTGAAGTTTGAAACGTGTAAGTAAATATCCTTAAATTAGAGCTTGGTAAAAATGTGGCCTCTTTGGGTCAGGAAGGACAAGCAGCTGATGAAAGCAGAGTGGTTCAGCTTTTACACGTACCATGTTTCTCCTCGAGAACATAAGAGATAAACCACCATCTTCTCTTGCCCTGGATTTCCACACTTCCATAATATTTCCTTAAGCTTCAGCTATGCTTAACAGGCTGACAAACTTAATTAAAAGTACAATTCATTTCCAGTATTCACTCTACACAGCTTAAAATTAAATCTTGTTTCTCCTTCACTTTTTGTAGCAAGTGAAACCTCTGATTTTCTCACTAGTTTTCCTACCTCGACTAACTGAAAGATAAATTTTTAACACGACTGCATGCACATTTGTGTTTCCATATCTTTAAAAGGTGTGTTCCTGGCAGCAGGAAAAACAGAACCCTGTTGTATGAAGGATGTATACAGCACTGAGAAAAGTTTTAACCGGCTTAAAAATAGTAAATGGAGAAATAATCCTTTTAAAGCCATGTTTGGAAAAGAACATGAATGCAATTAACCTCTGAAATTCTATGCTTGTTGGCTTGCTTAGTTCAGCGCTTCCCAGGGACCATTTATCTCAACAGAAAAGCATAAATACTGTGTAGCACCGACTTATCAGTGTAGCTTTAACTGAACAGTGTCCCCAGAGTCACTTAAGGGTTAATCCTTTGCATTTCATGAAAGGTAATGGATTTTGATTAAAGAGAGAACCTTAGCAGCTTGGAAGCCTAAAGCAGATGCACACATCCCAGCTTTATATTTAATTTAAACCCAGCACCCTCAAAGAAGAACATAAGCCATTTATACCACCAGCAACTAATCCAAAAAATGTAACGCAACTGACCTCAGTGAAATGGAAATTACGGTCGTGGCTTAGCTGTAATTATTATTTGCATAAGGTTTTAGTGGCCAGTACATCTCATAGAATAGTGTATGGATTCCTAATGGAAACGAGCCCAACTTTTTTGATAACTCACGGGACTTTTTCCAGGTGTGTTTGGAGATGATGGACCCTCCCCGAGAAGCAGAAGTTTGTCAGCATTTCTGGACGGAGCAGGCAGGGAGCCAAACCACCATGGTAGCAAAACAGGTGATGGAGCTACAATCATTTTGTTATCAACTTTCTCTACTGCCTTGCACTGGCCAGTCCAAACTGTAACCAGCTGGTTGGTGGGAACAGGATTCCTCATCTCCAGCTTCTCTGCCCAGTGACTGTCCCCATCACAGGAGAGTAATGCAGGCTATTCCCATGCAACACCCAACTCACAGCACAACACACAGAGACCTCCTGCACAACTCATGGTCACTCATAATTGCAGGGGATCAGCCAAAGAGGGCTGAGGTAAATCTGCTGGGATGACCTTGCTGGAACATGACTGGTTTTAGACAGAGCAACAAGCAAGTTCACACAATTTTTCAGGTCAGGGTACTCCTGGGGGAATTCCTCCATGTAAAAAGCTCAATTACATATCATATTAAAAGTTCAGTTACATATGATGTCAACTTTTATTGCACTGACCTGAAAAAAAAAAAAAAAGGTTGATTGTCTCAATGTAGACAGGGGGGAACTTCACTGGCCTTTTCATGAAGTCCTTCCAAAATTCAGATAAATTATTGAGGGTTGTCTATTGATAATAGAATCATAGAATCATTAAGGTTGGAAAAGACCTTTAAGATCATCATGTCTGACTGTTAATCCAGCACTTCAAATCCACCACGAAATTCTGTTACTAAGTACCACATCTACATAGTTTTTTGCCATTTCCAGGGATGGTGATTCCACCACTTCCCTGGGCAGCCTGTGCAACGCCTGACCACTCCTTCAGTGAAGAAGTTTTTCCTAATATCCAATCTAAACCTCTTGTGGGACAACCTGAGATAATTTTCTCTTATCCTGTCCTAGTTGTTACTGGGAGAAGAGACCAACTCCCACAGTTTTCCAACCTCCTCTCAAGTAGCTGTAAAGAGTGACAAGCTCTTCCTTGAGCCTCCTTTTCTCCAGGGTTAACAACCCCAGCTCCCTCAGCCTAGGAGTGACACAAAACCTCAAAACCCAACCCCAGACTATGTCCAGAACAAAAGCCAACCACAAGAGAAAAAACCCCATGTGGTTGGCAAACAAAAGGCTACCCTTGGTTTTGATTTTAATTATGAAATTTTTTCTCTTCTGAGAAGTGGAATGAATTTAGTCACTCATGCATGGTGTGAAAGTTGAATTGTCTGAGAATTAAATCAAAATAAAAAATGAAAACTACAAACCAGGGTTTCACTGCTACCAACAAGGGAGCCATCCTTTAGAGGTGACATTTCACAGCAGTCCTTGAGAAATGTGATTGTTCATAGCATTAAGTAAATTATGGTCTCTGAACAGTGTGGAAATAATTGAAAATGTTTGCTGTTTTTAAGTAAATGTTATAAATCCCCAAAGGCTGTTTGAGTCTGGAAGTAGAAAAGAATAGAATATTTCAAACAGGAAAGCATATGAGTGAACTGCCTGCTGGTTTGGCTGACAATTGTAAACCTTCCCCCGAAATATCAGCTGGAGCAGTTTTCCCTGCTCTGCTAATGGCTCACTTTGAGAAAGTTTTCCTTTTCTCCCTCCTCCTCAGCCGACACTCACACCTGAAATGGCAACAGTTAACTAGACGTGCCTTTCACAGTAACAAAAATGTCAGTGCATGAGCCCAAACGTGATGCAAATAAAGGCCACGCACCGTGTACTGCCACGGGTGTCAGAGAGGCCGAAAATGTGACTCCCTGACTGCTGCCCAGTGGCTCCAGTGCTTCTCTCCATCACTCCAGGAGTGGGGGCTGTGTGAGGGTTCCTGATGCTTTGTTTTGAAAGAGCTTAAACCTTTGGCAATGGGATTCTGCTGCAATCCTGAGGCAGCTCCTTCTGTTTGTACATAACCTGCTGCATTTCGTGGCTAATCAGGATCTTCTGATGTTCCTCTTGAAATGCTTTTTCACCCTCATTATACTGCATCTGCCATTTCTTCTTCCAGCTCCCCCGTTATTGTGAGTAAGAAAAAAAAAAGCTTTCACATTTTTGTCAAAAAGATGCACGATTGTTGTTTAGAGCACGTCTGTCACTTTGTCTTATCACAACAGTGTAAGACTCCAGCCCCAACACAGATATATTTGCTACATCCAGACTGTGACACGTTCTTGCAGAAAGAAGTCTCTAACACATCCACCCAGCGCTTCTCCTGACACAGCCCTGCACTAACAAAGCTGGCTGGTGCATGGCCACCACGTGCTGCTGGCCTGGATGTGATGATCCATACTTGGAAATCCGGGCTGCTATTCCCTGGTGCCAAACACAGGTGTGCTCCAGCAGACCTGCCTGTTCCCTCTGTACGTGCAATGCACTTTTGGACCTTTTCCAAGCAGCAGCAAGAGGAGAAGGAGTATTAACTCACTTGGCTCAACCCCAGCCATGACCCCACCTGCACGGAGCAGCTGCAAGACGTGGCATTAGATCCTGACAAGTGGGTTACTCACAGCAAGGAGACAACTCCATTACTCAGAGGAAGGAACAAAATATGTCACTGAAAGGCTTAAGGACCGTGGAGCAAACATGGAAACATTGTTTAGGCACCTATTTATGCACCTATGAGCCTAGTGGGATTCACCAAAGCACCTGCATAAGTTAGTCACCTAATTTGCACCAGTCATAAAGGTATTCAGAGCCTAATTGCTAAAGTGTTTTTGAAACTCCCTGCAGGCATCAAAAGACCTTTGTAAATCTGCTCCTCTGTGCAACCAGATTTTTATGGACAGAGACTATAAACACCGATGTACAAATGCCTATTCATGAAGTCACACAATTTTGATCAGTTTTTTAAGGACTATTTGCATTGTTAAAGGTTTATATAGTCCTTGACACATGTGGGTTCAAATGAGTCCAGTCACAAGTTTGTTATTAATCTGCAGGTAAAATTTAGTTGCATGTTGTATCACTGCATACACAGTTATGGTTTAAACATAATTTTGCCAGAATACAAATATTACTCCATCCTTCAAATCCAAACGTGAAGGCATCCACTGAGACAGTGTGGCTGCTCCTGTGTACATGTAGTTGAGTTTTGATTTAAAAAGCAGGCTTTCCTCTTCACTGGTTACAGCTTTTTATCCCTTACGTGAACTAAATTCCCTTACAAACAACATACATCTTGTACATAACTCACTATATAAAAAAAAAAGAATCTCTCCTTTTTCATTGCAGAGATTTGTGTGGAGAGCCTGACTCCATTAATTTCAACTGGATTGACTCTGTGCCATCTGTTTTCTGTGCAGCTGCTTTATTGTGAGGAGAGAGGAAGACAAGAAAGCACCCTTCTAAGCTCTACCGATGACATCCAGATATAAGACTATAATTGGTGGAAAACCTTCTGAAGTCTGCTATAATCACAACAGTCAAAGGGATTAGAGTGTGATCTAAAAGAAGAGATGCAGATTAGGTTTTTTTCAAAAGGGTTTGAAACCTGCCTTCAGACCCTTTCCAAACCTTCATCCCTTAGAAGTAAAATAAATAAGGCCACCGGTGTGAGAGGCAATTAAACTTGAATTTATGCAAACTTGTGTCTCTCACTCTTTGGCAGCACAGGGTAGACAGGTGATAATCCATCTAGCAGCCATTACAGTGCCTGGAGCAGGAAGGTGACACATTAACATGTGCCCACTGCACACAGACATCAGAAGGGCAGCACATTAATTTTAGAACACAATCCTGGTTCTGTGTAATCTTAATCCCTGCTTTTACATCAGTGATTTTATTGACATGATCTGCACAGAAGGCAAACATAGTCCCAAGCAACCATCTACAGAAGGGAATAGAGCCTTGCAATTTCTAGAGGGTGGCTCATTACTAAACCAGAGCTGGGCAAACAATCCCCCAGAGCAGTTACACAACTACAGGATAAAGATGTGCTCAGCTCATTACATGTAATATGCCACTACCACCCAAAATACACTTTGGTCTGGTTTTTATTCGTGCCATTGTGTTAAATCTCTGGCACACTACTTCTGTTAAGTGCACTTAGCACTACTAATAGAAGTGTGTATTTCAGGATTACCCTCAGTATCACTCATTTCATCACCTAAACCTCGCTGCACCTTCATCTTAATACCTCCAGTAGCTTCAGTCACATTTGTAAATGTGTTGGTCCCAGAAACAATTTATTTGTGCTTGAAGTTTTTGCGATAAGAGCGCTGCCTTTGCGGGATTAACCAATGCTACCCATGTATTTATGACTCGGGTAACTTGTTTTTTTTCAGCTTTAATAAATAATGAAGCCCGGATGGCTTTTCAAGTGGGTTTTCGCCCTCCTGGAGCCGCGGCATGAGCCGGAACAGAGCACTGATGCCAGGCAGAGGCAGAGGCTCATTCCTCTGCCTCAGTAATTCTCAGCAGAATGCACATAACAGAGCCCTGCTGCTATAAATACAGCAGCAGCCTGGTGAGGAGCCATGTGGGAAATGCAGGATCTGGTGCTGCGTCTCCAGCCACAGCGAGTGCCTCCTCAGAGGCTGCCACCTCCCATCTCCTCTGAGATCTGAGCACCCTCTGCTCCTGTCTGCGTCAAGTCCTGCTAAAAGGCAAACTGGGGCCCTTAAGTGAAACGGAGCTGGAGCTTGACGTGTAGATAATACCTCCCTAAACCAGACAACAGCAATTAACTTCGGACGCACCTTCCCATACCAGACCGTCAGATCCACTGCACACAGACCAGTCCAGGATGGATTTTGTTGTTGTTAGGGAGCAATGATTACAGTCTTTGTCTAAGACACATTCTGAGGAAAGCAGTCCTTTTCTTCTGAGCAGGACATTTATTGTGACTTACATCAACAGATCAATAGAGAGGTGGGAAACATCCTCCGAGAACCTACGTGTTCACAAAGACGTTTTCCAAAGGTTTTTCAGCCTCACACTTACATTTTCCTTACTTATTGTCTCCACAACTTTGTGGTCAATAAGCTTACACTGGTGATGGCCTAACAACCACCCTGCTCCCCCAAGACAGTCGTCTGTATGGCACTGTTGGAGCCCTTTAAACAATTTCGTTTGATTTTCAGCTGCAGACACTGTTGATGAAAAACTGAAACTCTTTTCTGAAACTTTGTCCCTGAGGTGCATGAAGTCCTGTGTGACCCTGTCACGCTTGTTCAGCTTAAAACCTCCCTCCTCTCTGCAGACTTCAGCAGCAAGAGATTAGCAGAACAGAATATACCTGTGCTGACACGGCCCTGCTACCTCCGATTTCAGACTTTCACAGTTTTCAGTGCATTTATCTCAAGTTTCATCAGGAATGGTGAAGTCCTTTTGGCTCAGTGGAGGCACACACAGAATTAAAGCAGACTGGAGCAGAGAAAAGAATTCAACCTGAGTCTTCCTGAGGCTCTTGCTCACACCATACCCAGCAAACACCTACTGCAGTGAAGCAGCACAGCACCTGAACACAGCCCACCTGGGCATCAACAAAATCTGGGCAGACTTAAACCACAGCCTTGGGAGCAGGGAATTTTTAATTCCCTGTGTTCATTTATGCAGCCATTTTATACTTAATCCTAATCTACTTGTATTGAAAACAGCACATATTTGGGTGAATGGGACTTCAGCTCTGAGTGTTTTAAAATGCTTATACCGTAGATATTTACATGTTGTACATATCAGAGCAATACCATATTTACCTCAAACATCACAAACCCAAAGTGTTTCAGATACTTAATAGGTGCCTTAAAGCAAACAATGTGAACACCTCATAAAAGCAAAATTCCCCAGTGTTGGCAAATAAACAGGCTGCAGGGAGAAAACAAAGGAAACATGAAGAAGAATCATTGATAGATAACATCAATTGAATAAAACACAACTAAAATTGTACCATAAAAATTCAGGGTCCTCTTTTAATGGGTCCTGTGTTCCTTGCCTGCCTAGCACAGAGGAGCACATTCCATACTTAATTACACCAGTATAAATCCAGAGAAACTCTCTTGAAAGGCTGAGCTCACAAAACCACACCTGAGAGCCAACATAACTAGTCTTCCTGTCTATCTCTTCCTTTTTCTGGTTACATATAGCACAAGTATTGACAGTTCAGGCTCGAGCTTTCAAAACCTTTGGGGGTACATTGCTCCAGAAGGAATATTAAATTAAAGCAGCAGCATGAGGAATACAAGAGCTATGTATTTATTGCAGAAACTGGGCCAAAGCACAGTCATTGTCATCAAGAAAGGAGAAAAGCCAGTGCCTTGTCCTACCTGCTGTCCCACTCCTGTGTGGTCATTGTTGCCTCTGAACTGCTCTGCCGGAGTCAGGCTGGGATCCAATAAAGATGTGGATAACTGGAGGCTGAGGGTTCTGCCGTGGTTGGAGGGAGGAAAACTGCTTCCCTGTGAGAAGAAGGATGCCAACTGGAGTAGGGGAAGCTGTGGGTGTGGGAGGTGGTCAGAGCCAACGAGGGCTCAGGCACAGCTGAGGCCAAGGCTGGGGATGAGCTGCTGAAATCAACCCCTGAGCAACCACACACCTGCAGAGTGTCCCACTAAGTGTGAGACCTAATCTAGCCCCAGGGGCACCCAAATTGACTGCAGGGAGAGAAACCTGGAGGATAGGTCCCACTTCTGGAGGATACAGTGGTCAAAGAGGAGATGGGTTTACAAACACCTCTGGTTTCCATTGCTGGATCCTTCTTAATTTTGGGGCCAGCAGTTGAGGCCCTCTTGGTGACTGCAGCATGCAGATACCCTCAAACTTTTGACCAGCTTTGGGAACCCCTCACAGCTTATAAATGTGGATTAGTGGCATTGAATCCTAGCTAAAATATGTGTATATAAATACATGCATTTATATATGAAAACATATACATAAATACATTATATTTTTATACATTTTCCCTAAAGCTTCTCCAACAGAGCAAAAAAAGCAGAGGGGAAAAAAAAAATCACATAGCCCTGTGCTGTGTCTATACACATCCTGACAGTGTATTTTAGACATATTTAGTTAGAGAAAAATACTTGCTGCAACATGGATAGGAACAACACCCCAGAAGCATTTTCCCAGGGTTACAAGGTGCCTCTGTGTTATGCAATATGG